AATTATTCTGCGATTATCCTGCAAAAAATATCTACGATAATCCAAAGTTATCGTATGTGTTTTTTTTTTAAATAACGAAATAGAAAATAAAAAGCATAACATCTAGATTTAGTTGTAAGAAATTGTACGAAAATAACTCGTTTCGAAAGACTGTTCGGTCGGTGTTACTGTCGTACAACGCAATAGTAACAATTATATCACAAAGTACGCACAGCGTATAGTCGAAACAACGAAAAAAAAAAAAAAAACTGCGTAACAATTTCCGTTCCTCATCAAAAAACTTTAATCGATCCCAGTGGGGGGTGGGCGGCAACTGCATTGCCATCCCGTTAGAGGACCGTCGTTACTTTTCGATTTTTGCCAAAAAAAAGAAAAAAATCAAACAAACATCCATGTATATCACAAAGGTAAAAATCGAAATTCCCAATCATTACTCTTCACGCTTCCACGATTCCGTCGACGACGGAGTCCATATTGTGCTGAGCGAACGAAACGGGTCGAATCCAGATCTCTCCTGTGTGAGGGAGAAAACAAAAAAAAAAAAAAAAACAAAAAAATCATTAAAATCGAATAGTTTGCACGTTATATATGCGCGCGCGATGCGCGATTGGTTTTCTCTCCATTGTTCACTCACTTGCATAGCCGATTCGGACTGTAACGTTTGCGACATGGGCGGTGCGGCTGCGCCCCAGGGAGCCGCGGCCCATACACCCCCGGTGTTGATTCCCCACACTCCGCTGCGTTCTTCTCCCACAGCCGCTCTGGTGTACAACGGTTCCCAATTTGTGTCGTCTGTCCAATTATCTGTTGATTAAAATAGAAGAGACAATAATGATTCACATGTAACTTGCAATTGTTCTTCTTCCCGCAATTTGCGACAACTATTTCTCATGTGTACAGCGTCGTTTTTTTTAAGTGAGTTAATTACCTTTTAAGTCGGATATAATAGATCTGTCTGAGGTTTTCGACGAGTCCGAGTGAATGCCGCTCGAACTGTCTGACAGTAAATTGATTATAGGACTAGTATCCTCCCACAATTGGCACCGCGTGTCTTCCTCGGGCGTTTCCAGTTCCACCAAATTCCGCTCGTCGGTCTCTGGAAGATCGTCGTACGGCACCAGCTCGCGCTCGAACTGCTGCAACAAATGCAGGTATAAATGAGTTTCAGATTTTAACGAGCAATTTACACTAGATAGTAGTAGTTGAAGTCGAGCTTACAGGATGTTCCGTGAAGGTGTTGACGAAATAACTGTTCGAATGCTGCGAGTCCGACTGCAGAATCAGAGAGTTCAGATCGTGCGTCTTGTCTCTATCCGAAGACGCGATCGACATGGGACCCGGTTTTGACATCAGACTGTTGTTGTACTCCTTGGACGTTTGCGTCGACACTTCTTGCGCCAGATGCGCCGGTTTGGCGTACTGCTGCATGTCTTTGACGTCCGTGTTGAACATCGAGGACAAGTTCGACGTGATTTTCTGACTCTTGTGGTTCATGTGATTGACGTGATTAGAACCGGGGGAATAGGGGGAGACGATTTCCTGACTTCGGGCCACCACGTCGCTGAATTTAGCTCTGTTCTCGTTCCAACGAGAGGGCGGAGGAGGCGGCAACGGAGGCGGAATCGTTTCCATGGTGCGCATTACGTCCTCTTTTTGACTTACGTTCTCGTTTACTGAAGGAGCTAGAAACGTAGTAAGAGAGAAACGTAAACTGTTAGATGTAACTGCATTTACACAATGTGTAAATAATGTAATTTTATGTATATGTGTGAAAATGCATACGCTTGACGTGCATCTTGTCGGCGAAAACTCGACGCTTCTGCACCGTTTTCTCTTTTCGCGGTGGATTTTTATTTTGACGCGGTAACTTAAGAGACGACTCGATGGTACGTGAGGTATGCTTCGTGGTGGACTTGCTGATGCTCGTCTTCCATCTGTTTGGATTATCCTGCTTCTCCTTATCGTATTCGTCATCATCACAGTCACCTTCGTAATTGTCCTTATAATCTATGCATGGCACAGTTGGAATAGACTGAGGTTTGTTCTTCTTTGAGATTGGCTTCCTTTGGAGCTTCTCTTGCTTCCCGCACGACTGGTCGAAACCCTGAACAAACAATTTGTTTACATCCAGTTGCTCGCGAACAACTTGGAACATAATAAAAAAAAAAAATAAAAAAAAACAACACTTACCTTACACATCGCATCGTCGTGAGTTGAACTCTCGGTTGTTGTGGACGAAGTCTCTTCTTCCGAGAGTTGAACGATCTTTTGAGAACTCGCGGATTCTAGTTTCTTCAACGAATCGTGATGATTATTGTGATTGCTATTGCTGTTTCCGCCACCGTTCGTCTGTTTATTTCGCTTGTTGTCTGACTTGGCGGCTCGATTGTTGCCGATTATCCCGGTATCCATCGCAACTTCTTGATCGAACTTAGTTTCTTCTTTAACGCTCGACTGCACGGATTGTGTTTTTCCTTTTCTGTTCAGTGTCGGACTCGATTTTGCGACCGCGTTGACAATACACTTTTTCTCTTGAATCAACTGAGTTGTATCGTTTGCTTCGCAATTGTCCGACTGGGTCTCTTGAACGTTGTTGTGTTGTCTCTTGTTCTTTCTCTTCGACCCGTACGTATTGTTCGTCGCGCTCGCGTTATCCGTAACTGACGACTCCTCGCACCTTTTGTACGACAGCAAGTCCTTCGATTCGGTGTCCAGCTTGAATCTGCGTTCTTCCTCGGCGGTCCAGTCCGGGATCTTTAGTCCCTTTTGCACGTCTTTGTCTTTGATCTTCTTCACGTTCATCAACGCCCAGTCCGGATACGTTTCCTCCTTCCTCGACTTGCCCCTCTCGTCGGAGATCTTCTCGTGCTTGTTGTTGGCGGCGTCGCCGACGATTTGCGTCGCGCCGCCGTGCGTCGAGCTGTGCGACAACAGTCTCAGATCGAGCGGCGGTTGCATCGGACTCTCCTTCGAGGTAGTCAATGCGTTTCGCAGTATTCGGTCCGCCTCGAGAACCGTGACCGCGACCACGCACATTCCCAATATCGACGAGACGCAGAGGGCGGACCACTGCACCACGCGTTCCCACGCTGGCCTAAGGAGCACCAACGCGCACGAGTCCAACCAGTACGGCGGCAGAGTCGCCAATAAATTAAACGTGAGCATGCCGTTCTCGAATTTATCACCGCCGCCGCTGTCCGGTCCTACGCTCGTCGACACCAGCAGCTTTCGTTCTACGCGCGACAGTGTGAAGTCCGGCGTGAACGCAATGTCGATTCTCTTTGTGGAGTTCGGATTCAATTTGAAGGGCGTGCAATCGAGCACCTTGAAGCCGTAGCCCTCGCACCGCCAATTGTTAATGTAGAAACCGTAAACCTCGATCGGCAGCTCCCCCGTATTCTTAGCCGTGAAGGACCGCTTCACGCTGAGAACGGGGATCGTGTTGCGTCTGGCGCGATCTGAAAGAAAAATAAAAACGACTTCCGATCTAATTTCAATCCCAATCCGTAGTCTCGATACGGAGCTCCAAGAAACCATACGTACATTCGCATTCTTGAAGATGCTTGTCCGTCAATTCAAACAGCAAGGGCGGTGCGACGGAGCCCGGTTTCCGATTGCCAAATCTAAATTGAGCGTTCGCGCCTCGACCGCTCATACGCAACACTTCTAAAATAGTCAAATTATTTCTGGAAGTAAAAACGCTCAATTAAAACGCAATCGTGTCAATACGCGCAACAAGTGCATTTGCACTTTTATCGCCAAACTACACTATTTGTTTCTCGTTCCTGAAAAATAATATAAAAAAGAAGTAACTTGCCTAATGTATAAAAAACCAGATGATATCGAAGCGGACAAGGGTGTGTACGCTATGCGAATTGTCCTTGTTTTCATAGGATATAAATATAAGGGAAACGATTGGGGTGCTATCGACACGTCCCACTCTTTTTCGTACACCGCTCGCTCGTTCGCGTTTTCCTCCAGTTTGAATTCTTGCGGGATCGTGAACGAACACTTCGCGCACGCGGGTTTGAATCTGCGGTTTAAAATAAAAATTTTCATCGTCATGATTTTTTTTTTCTCTAACAAAACAACAATTTACGATCAACAAATTTGGATTACGTACTTTGTTGGCAAAGAGTCGTAGAGACGCACTCCTTGGGGATAACTCCAGTCCATGACCAGCTGAACCATCAGTGGACTCGCACTCGGATTGTGCAGTTTGACCGCTTTGTATGATGTATTTCCGACCTGCGTCAGCGGAAACATTAGAACGCTCTTGTTCTTAATGCTGTTCGAGCTGATCAACAAGCTCGGCCAGTGCGGTTTGAGGTTTACGTGAAAACGGTGACCGCGCACTTCGTTCGTGTCCAGACGCATCGTGATGTTCTCCCACGAGCTGCCCGCGGTTGAGTTGACGAAGCGCGCGTATCGCGTGTTCAACAGGTTCAGGTCGGTGTCGCGAGTGTGCGACGGAAGGCTCAGCGTGTTCAACCACTGACTGCCTGCTGTAATAGAACAAAGTAATACAATCACCGTAAATCTACGAGTAATCGAAATACTTAGAACAATTGCGGTTCAATAACTTCAAATTAAATAATAAAATTAACTTATTATAATAATTATTTAAAATTAACTACAAAAAATTTATGTAAATTAGCTGTGACTTCACTCACTGTTAGTGTCCACTGATAAACCCAGATAACAATGTTCCTTGCAGGTGGCCGAAGAGTCAATCTGTATCGAACCGATGTTGTTCTCGCCCTTAGATATGACCGGCACAGTAGCTTCCTCCAATGGAATGTACTTTATTCTGTCGTCCTTATTCAAGGGCGTTACACGCGTCACTTCCATCGGTCTCGAGAACGTGGAGTGCACCTTCACCTGTTGCACGCAGATCGATCCCTGCGCGAAGATTTGAGATTTCGTCAAAGTCGCGCATATAACAATTTTTTTTAAAAAAGCCTGAATTTCGATACGACAGATAACTCACGGGGAAACAATCGGTGAAAATGAGCTTCTTCAGGGAAATCTTGCCGTGCGCGACTCGCATGTACACCGGCAATGTGAATCGTTCGTACGTCGTTCGCACGAAAACGTCACCGACAATTGTGTCTTCCTCGACCACGGGAGTTTTCACTTTGATCTTAAAGATCGCCAAGAATTCCGGCTTTATGTATTGCTGAAAATTCGTTAGATTCGTTACGCAATCGATCGTGACGACGAGAAATTAACAAAAAAAAAATTCATAAACCACTCCACCTCGAAAACACACTCACATTTCCAGAAGGGCTGCACACGGTGATATTTCGAAATTCCGTGTCCAACAGATCCGCGGGACCGTTCTGACACCCCATCAGTTCGAGAACCGCGCCGGGCATGTTCACGCCCCAGCTGTGCAGCTCCACGTTGACCGGGTTTTGATTTTCAAGCGCGAAAATCGCCTCGTTCTCGGTTCCGCTTCCGACCGTGCCGAAATTCATTATCCCCATGTCGTCCTCCTTCTCGCCCGGTATGATTTTTCTCACTTTGCCGTCGTAGCTCAGCACCGGGACCTCGGTCACGGACACGTTCGAGTGTATCAATATCGACGATTCCATTTTCACGTTATCACTCTTCCGCTCTTTGGTAAGTTGTAAAGAAAATATATTGACTTTTTGCTCAGGCTTTATTACTTTAGGAGTAAAATCTTTTATCTGAAAGAGATTACAAAACTTTTAGAAGAAAACGAGAGAAGAAGATAAAAAAAAAAGAGACGTGTTTTGCACACGAGATTGTTTAAAATGAAAAATCACAACTTTTCCTTATCGTAAGTCTGAAAGATTAGTTCAAAAGTTTGGGTTTTGGAAAAAGAAGAAAATAAGAAATACAAGTGTTCTGTATATGTGAGCCTTAAGTGGAAGAGACCTAACGATCTTCTCACCGTAAAAAGCGATTTCGCGTTAGAGCACATGGTGACGTTTGTGATAGCTAGTGGCAATTTGAATTTGTTCACCACGCTGAAGTTCCGAGCTTGATTGGATTGCGGAGAACAATAATGAGTGATCGACGTGTTCACTTCTAATCCGCCTTGCAACACTTGGGCTATCCACGGAACTGCTAATTTCTGACTAGAGCCACCCGGACCTATTGCTTTTATTATTAACTTGCCTTTAAAATGCTGCAAGTCCAAACCAGTTTTCCCTAAAAAAAAAAAAGAACAATAAGACCATAATTCATCGTTTACAAATTACAGATTAAATAAACTTGTTAACTTGTCTTTCTGTTATTTGCGTCTTACAATCGTAAACCAGCATTCCGATAGTGATCGGTACGTCAGTCTCTCCTGGAATTACTGCTGATTCAAACTGCAGCTTCAACGCTTTTGATACCGGCGTATTTATAATATTCTACAAAAAATGTTTCACTCGCGTAATTGTTTTTTTTTTTTTTTTTAAATGAAAAACGCGACATACCACAACTTTGATTGCTTTCTTCGCCGAATTTTTTAAAGCAATAGGATGGCGAATAGGTGGCTGCAATGAGCCACCCATCCCCAAGTTAATCACTCCGGAACTTCCACCCCAATGAAGACCAGCTCCACTTTTAACTTCTACTTCGACTGCTACTACAAGGATCTCAGCAGTGTTATTGACTTTAAATCTGTAACGTTCACATTGCAATTATATGTTAACATTCTAAAAACTATTTTAGTGTACAATATCGCGCGATAAAAATACCAACCTAATATATGCTGTGTGATTTTTTTCCGTATACGCGTTAAAAGTTAGTCTGATGACAGGCTTCGTTTGATAGGGTAGAATTTCCCATAATTCACGGGTGCCTTCTGGCTCGCCTGATGGTAATTCTAATTGAAATTCTCCACCACTGCTATATACTTCCATGACCTTTGTAAGAAAACAATTTTTAAATACACATAAAAATATAAAAATTACGAATCATACGGATAATAATTCACATACTTGTAACGCTTCTGAATGTGGATTGTGCATGTATATAAGGGGTGTAAAAGATGCGTTTAATGGTAACTTGACATCGACTACGGGTCTGAGTCTGTAAGGACTACTCACACTTACACCTTTGACCTGCGGATTCAAAACCATTTTATTTTGCACATCACGATCTTGGGCTATGATAACTAAATCGTTACATTCTTTTGTTACCTGATACTTTAACGTTCCATCTGACGTGTGTATAAAAAGGTGTGTATCAATATCACCTTCCTCTCGACCAAGGAAGATAACATTAAATGTTGTGTTTCCCAATGGTGGAATTACCTGAGATAAAAGTAAGAATCAGTACGATTAGATAAATTGAATTACATACGCGAAAGTGTCAAATATTTAATTCGAATCTTCAAATTGACATCAGCATCAAAAGTATTAAATATATTTGTGTTTTTTTAACCGATCTATTCTTGAGGACTTACTTTGTTTTGAAAAAACGATGAATGGAAGTGACGTGTATTTCCAGATATCGATGAAAGATGTATAGTTTTATTGTGATCCTTGTTAATCATGATCACAGTTTCTTGGTGAGGAATACCAAGTTGTCTATAAGAGAAACAAAAATTTATATACATTGTGTAATGTGTAACTCTTATATCGTAAATAAAATACCACACGCTCTAGACATCGTTCACCTTTCTTTAAAGTCCAAAATGCTTGGCTCGAAGGAAATGTATGAAAGTAAATCCTCCATCTTATCCTCCTCCAATACGGTGTCCCTTAAAAACATAATGAGATGCTGTTCAGGAAGTAATTACATTACTGAATTGTAATTTATCATATTGGAAATTGAAAATAGGAAAGGTATAAGAACAATTAGTTTGAAATGCAGTTGAGATTCGATACAGTTAGTAAAGCAATGTTTAGAATCTCGGTATCTCGTTGTCAGAATGATGCAATGTTTTATCTAGAGCAAATAAGTCTGACGACAATACACACTTGTATATCGCAATCAACAAAACGTAATAATGTAACTGAATTACAACTCCTTCGATTTTTTTAAATTTGCACGATCGCAATCCAATTTTTAAACATGTGAAATATATAAATTTTTTTCTTGCTCCGAGTTTGCTTCTTAGAACATAAGACTTGATTATCTCATCTATGGTTAGTCAACATTTTTGCAGATTGTCTAAAATATGACAAATACCCTGCTACAATTCGCAAATCAAACAAATGTATGACAATGAGTCTCAAATAAAATGCAAGTACATGTGGCGAAATATAAAATGTTTGTTAAGATATGAAGCTTGAAGGTTTTTCATGAAGGATACTCTGTACAGCTAATACTTAGAAGAAGAGAAGATTTATAATGAGTACCTTTCCTACTTCCACTCACCATTATCTTAATGAGTTATTAATGCTTACCCAGCCCCATGTACTGTATTACCAAAATCCTATAAATAAAGAAAATTCCAATGTAAATTATCTTTATCATTTCAGATTATTGCAATAAAATAAAATTATTAAAAACTTATTTTACAATTTTAAAAGAATTTTTTACTCTTTTCTGTCACAAATATAAAGTTTTTTTTTTTTGATAATGCTGTTCTGTATCCGCGCGTACAAAGTTTCTTATAAAACCACTTAAGCCTGATAAAACAAACATACAAGAGAGTTTGTTTTTCTGGCTAAGCCTGATAAAACAAACATACAAGAGAGTTTGTTTTTCTGGCAATCTTACTAACCTTGTGCATAGATATTGGCATATTATCCAAAAGATATTGGACATCGTTGTCATCCTGAACAAAGGCTATAAAATCACAAAATATACATTTACATCAATGACTCGTAATAACAAACTTGCAAATTTTTTAGTTGCAATATATTTACAGATATATAAAAAAAAAAAAATTACAAAATTAAGTGTGACACAAGTGACAATCCTACACTCTGCAGGTTAGGTGAACAATTTCTAAAAAAGACAGAGTTCTAAAAGAGCATTTCAAACCTGCCGCACACAGAGATTGCGAAGAGAGAAGCAATTCTAAGTGATAATAAATCTATAGAGAACGCACGACAAAGATTATTTGACTGAAAATTCGGTCAAGCTTGTACACCGTTGCACAAGCTTCGATAAATACGTGCGATATCGCGTACGAATTCACGGGAGAGAAAGCAAATTGGTAATTAGATCGGTAATGCCTTTCCGTTTCAAATTAATCGAAAAGCACGGCGGAAGCTATCAAATTTCTGTGACAAAAACGCAAGTTCTTGGCACGAGCCATCGCGGATCACGCGATGTAAACATTTACGTCATGACAGGTGAAACTGAGGTTATACCGTATTTTCGTATCGCCGTGATAACGATCTTCGCCGCAAAAAATTTGCGAATTTCAAAAGCAGAAAAAAAAACGACAAATACTCGGACGAGACGAAGATCGCGTGACGCGGCGCTTGGCGCGCAAAGCTCGCGCGCGTCTCGCGACCTTCATCGGCAACGGGGGTATATCGTTAAAAGTAAATCGGAAGGTCTCTTCTTCCGATGCTTCATCGCGCTTTTTCGCGTGCACAAACATCACACGACTCGTCGTCGGAATTTCGCGATTTATTTTTTCACCGCATTGGGAGCGAACGGTCGCTGATCTTCGTCAAAAAAAAAAAAAAAAAAAAAAAAA